GTTTCTTATAATCACGAGCTTTTGAGGCATTGCAATTTGGAGTTGAATATTATTTTCTCACTGCCTTCACAATTTTAGTTTCACGTTTTTTTTAATGTGTAAAAAGTAACATGTTTTAATAGTAATTTATTTCATCTTTGATCTGAGACTGAATTCAGCCTTCCACCAATTGTAGTTCGCAAAATACTGCTCTAAGATCTTCTCGAAATTGTGTCATGTTAGGTTCTTTCATGTGTGGATTCTGAAATGATAGAATAACTTTTATGTACTGTAGTATGGAAAGTACAGTATTTTAAGCATGGTTGTTCTAACATCACAAACTTGTTGAAATATTGCAATTTGAAATTGAACGTCATTTTCTTGCTGGTTTCACAACTTTTGTTTTACATACCGTACATACCTCGAAAGCAGTTTATGTCAACTTTGATTTGATACTAAATTCAGCTTCCTAGAAATTGTGGTCCCCAAAAAAAATCGTTTTATAATCGTATCATTCACTGTGTATATGTTACGGGAGAAGGTTTGAAAAAAAAAACGTGATTTGATATTTTTGCAGAATTGGGACCGGATGAGCAGGAGCTGGTTATGGCTGCAAACTCATGCATTGCCAAAGCCACGCTTCGAGACCCTGGACAATTCCTGTTGTCTCCGTCAGACGTGGTTCTTTCCAATGCTGCCGCGTTTTTGCTGAATGTACATTCGCTCGACAATGCAGTGGGTAGACAAGGACTATTGCCGATACCAGTCATGGGTCTGGATGACGGTTGCAAGCGTCGAGATATTCGCAATTGCTTGGACTGGATGTGCGTTTTGAAAAGATTGTTGAACGAATTTCCGTCTGAGAAAACGCCGCCGACGAAAAGTGCCAAAATTGTTTGGGAGATCTGTGAGTGTTCTTTATTTTTTTGGCCGATACCTGTTTGAAACCAGGGATTTTCAGAAAGTGACAAAACTTATTTACGAATTTGTCTGATCTGGATTGATTCGATTTATAATGGAAATATCATTTTAATGTGCACAAAGTCATACCAGGTTTCATCTCTGTGAACACCATTCTCATCTCTTTTAAATTTTTAGTGATGGACATGTTTCAAGGACCGCCGGAGACGATGCCGCCAGCGCTGAATTTCCGTGCTTTGAAACCTTACTTGAGAGAAATCTCCCGTCCTTCCGTTCTGCGAGTTATTATTTCCTTGTTCACCAGCGTATTTCATGCCCTCAAGCAGGACTCGACGTGTGTGATTGAGCACGATGCCACGGAGGCATTTCGGTGGCCTGGTCCTCGGACGACGAAGTTAGTTTTTTTTCTTCTATTTTTCTCGAATTTTAAATTTTAATTTGATGTGATGCTCTAAAAAGTTTCCTAAATGTCAATTTTTGAGTTCAAATTAGCTGTTGAATGGGCTTGAGGTATTGGCTGTGAAAAAGCTGCTGAAACTCCTTCCTTAAAAAAAGATTGAAAGTCATGTAAAAATAAAAATATCTGCGGAAATGAAACCGCATTAAATGAACCAGGATGTTCTATTTAGGCAAGGTTTATTTTTACCTCCAAATAACTGTGGAATGCTTTTTAAAGGGTCTGGGGTATTGCTTGTGTTACGTTAAAATTTTAATTTGATGTGATGATGCCCTGAAAGTTTCCTGACATTCAATTTCTGAGTTCCAAATTAGCTGTTAACGCTTTTGAAAGGCTTTGAGGTATTTGTTGTGAAAAAGCTGCTGAAAAGCAGTGTTCAAAAAAGTTCGGAAGTCAAATATACAGTAGTTTAAAATTACGTGCGCTTGGGGAAGCACGCGGTTTTTCTTGCAGAAGGATAAAACGTTTCTTATGTTGGTCAATACCCGATAGCTTCAGATTACTTGAGAAAAAAGTCAACCCCTGTGATTATTCATGACATGTACAGTTTAAGCTTTTGTGTGCGCGTTTTTTATTTATATGGAATATTTTTTTCTGACTTTTCGGGATGACTAGCTTTTGTGTGCGCGTTTTTTATTTTTATGAAATATTTTTTTTCTGACTTTTCGGAATGACTAGTGCATCAACTCAAGCCGCTCAAGATGCCGCAGAAGCATTATTGTTTTGCTTGAAGCATGCTTTGCGCCAATTTCCTCGTCACGTGAAATGGATCAGAGCCAAAGCTGACACGTATTATGGTTAGTACTTCCTCCTTTTTTTTCTATCGTCATTTTGATCGTATTTTCTTCATTTTAAAATCTGCTTTTCCTTTAGCGCTTGGATACCATATGGATGCCATGAGGACGTACGTTGAGCTTTTGGCAGTTTACTCGAATTTATTCGCCGGAAGTTTTCCAGAAGGAGCTTTGGAGGATCAGCTTTTGAAACGAATGATCAGTTGTTGCACGCATTTCCGGAAATTCACTCACGTGAGTTGGTTGATGCTCTCGTTATCTGCGATTTTTAAGCATGCTTTCTGTTTCGTTATTCAGGCAGCCATTTTGTGCCAGTATTTGAAGGAAAAGGACAAGTACAACAGAGCGTTCCAGTGTTTGCTGGAAAGAGTATCCGTTGATGGCACGGATGCCTACTACCCAATGATTTGGGATGTGACGATTCTTGAGTACTTGGTGAATCTGCATTCTCGGCGAGGAGAAGAAGGAAAAATGTTGCGCGCGGTAAGCAGATGTGACGAATGTAGTCCAAGTATATAGTACCTGCCTGCAATACTGTGAAGTATTCACCGAATTTACAAAGAAAATACAGTAGATCCACAAGCAATTTAAAAAAGGCAAAGTTAAGAGATCATGTGGCAAATCTGTTTATGTGGACAGTTTTCTAGAATTACCGTGATCATTGAACAGTGCTTATGCAACTCAGGTCACGAAATCTTGAATTTCACGACTTCCTCTAGAATTTGAATTCTATACTTCGTATAAATTACGGACTGCGCCCTCGTAAATTCGCATGACGTGGGTAGTTTTCACTGTAGCTTTGACTGTATTCTGTGTATATGACATTCAATTTCAAACTGTAGTGTCTCAAAAGCTTGTAATGTTGAAAAAATGATTTTAAAATATTCACACCTCGTGCATTAATTGTCTTAATTCGAATCCATGCTAAAAAAAATGGTGGTTGTTTTTTTTTCTTCTTAAAACTGTATGTTCAACGAATTGTGAAAAACTGGTCCACTCTGCGTTATTTTTCAAGCAAATTTCACCCAAATCTCGATTTTTTGCGGAAGTGTCCAGGCGAAGATGAGACACGTGGTTACTTCATCACGATTACTGTTATTTACTATAGTATGGGAAGCAATTTTTTTTAGCATTGCGAGCTTTTAAGGTACATGTACAGTATCATCTGAATTTTAATGTCATTGAGCGATCCCAAGTTATATCCGCATTTGGGTCGTAAGTGTATGGATATGAGGATAAAAGTGTGATGTTTCAAACCTGCCGCCAAAAACGAAATTTTGTGGAAGCCTGTTGTAAAAAGTCGTTTCGTAAACCGCAATCACGTCATTTGGAGATACTGTTCTTATTTTTTAAATTAGGTTTATCCACTGGTATGGTATTGTATCATAAATTAATACCGAAACAATAGTCAGAGATATTCTGAATTTTGTACGGTATCTTGAAATTTTCAGGAGGAAGCTCAGTTCTAAAATTTTTGAATCGGTGTACTTTTTCTGCCCGCTGTGTAAGGCAATTGCTGGTTGCTGTCGATTCGTTCTGTATATGTTCGTGAGTTTTTTTTTCCCTTCCAAAGCAGATATTTTTATCAATGTCATCCCTCCTCTACACATTTCAGAACATTTCACTCATCTATATTCACTTTATGTTTCAGCTATCGATAATCAAAGACCTGGATGTGAACGCCAACAATCCGGAAGAAATTCGAGAAGTATACATAAGGATGAAAAGGAACCAGTTTTTTAGGTCTTTAGCTGCGCAGTACTGGGTCTACTGACTGCTAAGGTGATCCAATGCTTATCAACCAAAGGTTGTGATATTTTTTGACTGTTTCGTAATTTTTCAGTGTTGCATTGATGAAAATTGCATTACTGTAGCTGGAGAAAACCGTTCTGTTACTTTTAAACTCGTTTCGAACAGACATGGACATGGTCGATTGTAGATAACATTGGATTCGCAATGGCCTCCGCAAATGGGTATTTTTTGGAGTTCACTTTTTGTGTCAGACATTGGTTGCTTAGAATTGTTTCCAGTGTTCTGTTGAATGATGATCGTTTCTTGGAGGGCTTGAAATGAAACGAGATGGTTTTTGCTGTGCATTTCGTGTTGACATGTTTATTTATTCTGGAGTGTAGTACACAGATCTTCTGCTGCATGTTGCATCCTAACTGGAATGAATTCAATTGTACTGTATGTACAGTACTACACCATAGTTTTGTGCATCCCATGAAAACCTGATACCTGACCTTATACTGTATTGTAGTCAAATTGGGTGGATTGAATGTCTCAGATTTGACAATATCTGACGTACCGACCAGCCGCATGTTACCATACTTTTGTCGTACCACTGGCATAGCCCAACGTCATCACTTCCCTTGCGAATCAAGACTGCAGGAATTTTTGGAAGAAGTTTTGTAAAACGAAGCTAAGCAAATTGAGGTAGATTCAGTCTAGGAAATTCAGTTTTTTTTTTATTAGGGATGGAAAGCGGGGATTCAGGTGTGGTACAGAGCAAGTCATTCTCGTGAGGTTGATGCTCCTGCGAGAAAGGGGCCCACCGAATCATGCTGGTGTCAAGTCGATTGGACGTGAATTGCCTTCGTTAGAGGTGAACGTGCTTTTCAGGATTGCGGCACAGTGCCATTGTAGACGAGTGTCGAATTGGGGGAGTTCTTCAGGGATTAAATTGTTCGCGGGATTGTATTGAAGACGTAGGCGCGTAGGGGATTCCTTGGGCTGACGTGTGATAGGTGATTTCTGGAATGGAAAATTTCTTACACCCTCAGACATTGTATTCGGTGAAAATTTCTGGAAATAACGAATTTTGAAGTAACCGCGTGAACGAAAAATTTATGGCAGCACCGGGGTAAGTTAAATCTGCGCGGAGTTCGGCTTTCTGGTCAACGTCCATCGTTTCTCGTCTGTGTCTAGGGCTCCTCCTCATGACGATTCGTCGTCAGATGATGAAGGCCAAGCTTTCTACGTTGGTGGATCTGATCATAGTGGTCAACAAGTGTTAGGCCCAAAGAAGAAGAAAAACGGGGTTTCTGTGGTGGATCGTGTGTTTTCGAACGTCCGACCGTGAGTTTGACAAATTTTGAGTCATTTCTCAATCTTTGAATATTCCTGCTCCCTCAGCCATGCTGAACAAGCGGAGCCTGGCCGAGCTAATGCCTCGAAAAGACCGTTGTATTTTACGGGGACTGGACATCGGTTGGGTGAAAATGCGGAGGAAAGTTCAGGTTAGCATTCGGCAGACATTTACTCCTTCGAACCTGTCGTGAGGAATTTGTTCATCTGTGTAGAAATTCCTGCTGCCGATCGTCCCCCGAGTCCAAGAGATTTCTCCTTACTGATGTGGGATAACGGATTTAGCATTGATGATGGACCCTTGCGTCCATACGAAGAAGCTGAAAATCGCCGGTTCTTGGAACACGTCGAACGAGGGTATTTTGCTGTTAAATTTTATTGTCATCCAATTGTTTGGTGGAGGAATCGCTTTTATCGACGCCAATTAGCGTCACGTACTGGAATGCTATAATGTTTTAAAAATCTAATAGGCAAATTCCTCCCGAACTGATTCAAATGGCTCGAGGTGGAGAAGTAACCGTGAGCATGGAAGACAAACGTGGAGAAACTTACAAAACGGCGAAAGCGCCTCTAAGAACTTTCGTTGGAGAGGGTCGAACCTTGGGGAGGTGAGTCTTGTTGGACTTTCTTCCATACTTGCATGTTATACCGTATAGTTTACTTACTGTGTGTCCCACTGTTTCCCGAAAAGCTTACGAAAAGCGAGTGTACTCATGACATTCAAGTTTAAACTGCACCTAGTTTTTAAATTGGGCCCTGTATTGAGGACTACCGTCTCAGATTAAAATTTATTCGGGGTTTAACGACGAAACAAGCGAGTTCTTGAAGATGGATTTACATCAGAAACAACGGATGACAATGTTAGATTTTTCTACCCCTTGTCAGTTATTCTTTCTGTTCCTAAGAATCTGTTGTGAATAACTTGACGGACTTGATGCCATCGCTGTCTTCATTTGTGCGGAAAGGTCAGGTTCATCTTTAACATATCTTTGGGCCTGTAATTCTCCAATAAAGCTACCCAAAGACAAAGTGTAGCCTGTATTTCCGTGAATACAGTATGGTATTTTTCATCCCGTCGAGTTTTATTATCTTAGCATATCGCCAACAACCGTTGGAGCAACAGCAGTGTGCACTGAGCCTGATCGGAAAGCGAACGAAGAGTTGGCCAAGAAGGAACTCAAAGTGAATTCAACGGAACCAACGACAAACATTCAGTTGAGGCTCGCTGATGGGTCTCGTCTCGTGGCTCAGTTCAATCACACTCACACTGTTCGAGACGTTCGAATGTTTGTGGTTCGGTAAGTTATCCTTCACTTATCGAATTGGAAATTTTAAAATGATGCACACTCTTTTTCGAGCAAAATCGCATTTATGAGACTCCTTACAAAGTGTGTTCTGATTTGTATTCGAACTACTGTACTCTTGTAACTCGGCTGTTCTGCGCTGAGACAAAATCTACAAAATGTGGAATAATTTTCAGCCTACCTTGTTCCAAATGAGCCTCGTTTCTGGGAGTGTAACACAACTGTGATATATTTGATTAGTACAGTAGTCATGGGTTTCCGTGGGGAAACAAAATGTGTGGTTCGGCTTGTTAGCTCGCGTAATGCATCCAAATGTGACATTATGAAAGAAGAAATGGAATATTTTTAACATGTACTGAGCAGTACTAACGCTTTTTAAGCGAAGTTGAAGCGGGTATTACTGAATAATTCGGAGATGAATACAGTACTTTTTTTCTCCACATTTTAATGAAAATGAGTTCAACACATAATTTTTGAAAGGTGAATGTATTTCGGATCTACAATTTTCTAAAATTTCCATTGAAATTCAACATTTATGAAGATGATCTGTACTTGAATTGCAGCTGATCGCGTAAAATAAGATTATGATGGCGGAAACAAAGAAGTCCAAGTGAAATCACTTTTAAGTGTTTAACCATGGCTAGTTTTGTACAATCACGTTTGAATCGCCGTGTTGGGTGGAACACCACAAATCCGGAGTAGATGTAAATTATATACAGTACGTGGAATATTGTTAGAAATGCAATACCAGCAAAGAAATGAATTCAACGATTTCTGCCTGTCGACGGCAATATTGGGTCAAATCATTGATTACTTTTTTTACTTCAATTTATAAATTTTTCGTACGCTTTCCTGTAGCTCGAATTTGGTGAATTTACGGACAATATTTCGAACATTTTTCGAACTGGGAGCAGCGTTCTCCTGGGTCAATCGAAGATTATCAGCTTGCCCGCATCTTAATCTTGAAGTGCTGTATTGTCGTAAAAATATTCACGAACATGTGAAAATACTGTATTTGAGTTCTAACGTAGCAGGATCATGGTTGTATCATGCTTAAGGAACCGTGTCTTTGCAGAAAGGAAGCAGCAAATCAGTGCGAATCAGTGAAGACAATCTTTTCATCACAGAGAGTATTTTTTCGCTTGGGAAGGAAACGCGTTCATTTTGTGTTGAAACTAAATCTTTTGATAATTTCCTTTTTAACCCGCATTGGATTCTTTTTCGTTTCTTTCCTGTGCAGAGCGAGGCCTCAGTACGAAATCGTTCCATTTCTACTCATGACGTCGTTCCCCAGTCAAGAGCTGACGAATGAAATGGCGACACTGAGCGAGCTCAACCTGTTGAACGCTGTGATCATCCAACGCGTCACGGGATAGACTCGCAACCCTGAATCTGTCCCCATTCCTATTTCTTCCCCCCACCCGTGAGAAATTCATCGTGCTCTTTTTTTTTCTGTTTATGTGTATTCGTCGCCGGTATCGAAAAATATTACGATCATTGAACGATTTCTGGTCACCTGAGACTGATGACTGTTGTTGTTTTTGACAGGAATCTTTCCTCCTTATTTCCTCGAGCTTTTTCGGACGAGTTTTTTTTTTTTTAGTGCGCGATGATACCTTTTGGAAGAATTGCGGCTTTCGTTGTGACACTGAATTTTGCCAGTGCATTTTACTTGCCCGGCTTAGCCCCGGTCAACTATTGTGCCAAGGGGTTTGAAACCGACAGTTGCAAGGTGAGTTTTCTGAATTTTTCTTCCGCGTGAGATTAAATGTTGGAATTCGTTCATGCCTTCATTATGCGCATGATAATCCTGCTAGGATGAAAGCTGCCAATGAAACGAATCCCTGACTAATTGTTCTACTGGATTAAATTTTCGTTTCTGTTAAATTTACGTTTTACCTGTGCTGTATTTACGAAACTATAGTGTGGTTCAGGAAGTACTGTGCAGTATATGCAGAAAAGGCTGTACTAGGAAAACCAGGCTAGTCTTATGGGAAAATGATGATGAAGTTTCGAAATCGTAACAAATTTGGTCGTGGGTGCTTTGAGATCTCTTATTTTCTTGTGCTTTTCTACGTGTTATTTATTTTTTTTTTTTTTGCTGAGTCGTTGGTTCCCTTAACTCATCGCCCGACTTCGCCTAATCTTATCTATGTTAATCGTACTTGATTCTGGAAACAAACCCTGGAAGATTTTTTCTATCGTCAAAATCACAGAAAAGGTTTCAGCGATGCTTTTCCTCTATCTGGAAGAATACACATATTGTTGCAAGTGTTTGATGCATTTTTTAACTCTGTTTTTCAGTCGGATATCCCGATTTTTGTGAATCGTCTGAACTCTGAGGAATCTGTGATTCCTTACGAATATGAATAGTGAGTTCTTGGATCGATATTCGTCCTCGGTTTTTCTTTGTTTGGCGTGACAGGCATTTTGATTTTGATTTTATACCATGTCCGGCATGACGCAGTGTTTTTCAGCATACATTTTTTGCGGTTTCATTCCAGTTTCGATTTCTGCCAGAAAGAACAAGGAGACCAGAGAGTTGTCGAAAATTTGGGTCAAGTACTCTTCGGCGAACGAATTACTGAATCTGCGTACAAGGTAAATAATTGCTTCCAACGACAAGGTTTATTTTGTGGTCTTAGGTGAGGATTGACAAAAAAGTCGATTCTTAGACGACATTTTTATGATCAACGTGGCATTTCTGAATACGATGCAGTCGGCTCAGGGAATTGAAATGGATTATGACTCAATTATCCGGGCTTGTGCGCATAAGTATCTTCCATGAAATGGATCAATCGGCTTGTATGCGTAATTTAATTTATTTCTCAGTACCGTATTTTATGATCCGTGTAATGTTTCAGAGGTTCACAATTTTTCTTTTTTTAATCAGAATTATTGTCTCCGTACTTCGGAAAGAATAGCCTCATCGAAATCCCGCTGGGGAAGTATTTTTGGGGCTTGAATCATCTTCCTGTTCTTCCGGCGATTAAATCATCTTTCGCTGAACAAGTCTTCAGCATTTGTACTACAGTATTTAAAAGTATTTGGGATCTTCTTTTCGAGGTACACAGATTTAAATTTGAACTTTTTTTGCGTTTAATTATTCAGCATTGTTTCATTGAAGAATTGGTAATGTAATTCTCGACTTTTCTTATTTTCAATCGAGCTCTCTTTTGTGGAGCATCTTTGTCGTAACTATAAATTCCAGACAGCGGTTCAGAACCTCTTCAGTACTGTAAGTAAGAGCAGTACGAAAACACAAGAAAATTGGCTGAAGTAGGTCAAATTGCGGTACAGAGGTTGAATTGCAAGTCAACCTCTCAGCAAATTTAATCATGTAATTCCAAGGTACCACCTGTATCTCATTCAGGGCATTTATGTGTTCCTGAGAATGTTGGTAATACTGTAGTATGCTTGGTAATTGAGTATATGTTTTTAAGTAACATATACCATATTTACTTGGGTATCATGCGCACCTTTTTATTCAAATTTCAGAAGAAAAAAGGGGTGCACAGCATAAGTGGGCAAACATTTTTCAAGAAGTTTTAAGAAGTTATGTGTGCATTATGCTTTCTTATAATGAAGAAATTTGGAACAAGTTTAACAAGAAAACTTTTTTTACTGAATAAGTTGAAAATTGATCAGATTTATGTTCAATCCATGTCTAAAGTCAAATTTTTTGTTTTTATTTTCGAAATTTTGTGGTTTTAGAGTCACTAAAAATTTGGGCGCATGTCTTACTTGGGGATAAGATTTTAGCAAAATTTCCAACTGAAAAACCCTTGTGCGCGCCTTACTCAAGGGCGCATGGTACTCAAGTAAATACGGTAGTACAGTACAGTATTTTATAAATGTGCAATTATCTGTGACCTTTGATTGCCCGTATTCATTTAATGTATTGAATAAATAAGGTTTCAATATGAAATTTATGGGAACATGCCTGTGAATGTGAATTACTTTGGATCTTCATGAATAAATGAAGCATCTTGATTATTACATTATGGTGATTTATTCATCAGCCTTGAAATTTTTCTACTCGTTGACGTTTATTGGAAAACACTACTTTACTTCACAGTATTTTGGTTTCCCAGGTTTACCTCAGTAAACTGGATGATGATACGAAGGAGATCTTATCGCGATTGGTTATTCGTGAACGAGGCGAAAAATTATCAGAGAGTGATATCCTGAGATTTGCTTTGAAAAGTGGGGATGGAAGCAAACGTTTTTCCGGACGGAGCAAAAGAAAAAATACCCTTGTTTTCTAGATATTTTAAATACTGTTCAGTATTCATGGTTCAACCTTGTCTGAACTGATATGAAAATGTTTTTCAAACGTACTTTCGAAAAAATATTACCAGACTTCGTTTCGTGTTAGCATTAGTTGGGTTATGGTTTCGGAAACTTCCCCTGCTGTACTCACAACGACGGAATGATGAAGATTTTCGCTTTTACTGGGACCTTTCATATAATCATCGAAATAAACAATATTTTCTTTCAGATGGAGTTCCTGAAACCGTTAACATGTGAAGTCTCGTGCACAAAAACTTACAATGGAGGAAACAGAGAGGACATGGAAAAGCTAGACAAATTGAAAAAGGCTATTTATTTGAACTACCAGCACCACTGGATTGTTGGTGAGTCATTTCTCCGTTTGTGAGATCTTATCTTGAAGTTGCGTCGCCTTTTTTAATATTTGAAGCACAGTACTGTCGCGGAAAAAAAGGTTTCTTGGCTAACCTTACCTCACATAAAACCAATTTAAACAAATCCATCATAGTTTACAAAAAAAAATTGAGAATTATTATCTTGAAAGAATCCCTGTTCAACGTTGAAAAAATTCGAGCAGCGTTTCAAAAATTAACCTTGCTAGAGGAGCAGAACGTGTAAAACCTTTCCCCACTAACATGAAGAACTTATCTCCACGATTGCTGTGAAACCTGACCTAAATATGTAGTCTAAGTCTAAATATCCAAGACAATCCATCCTCATTATGCTGCCTATGTTTCCCCCGGGTTCAGGTGGCTTATCAACGAACGTCATCTACAAGATAAAAAGTGAATTACTTTTTTCCATCTTCAGTTTTTGTTCAAATTCGGTTTCGTCAATTTTTGCTGTCATCTGCGAAGACCGCACAGGTGACGAAAAGAACTGTGTACTTTTCCTCTGATACTTTTTGCTAGTACTGTATATGGAGTCCCCCACAGAAAGGGCACTGAGTCCACACTATGCTGATTAACGTGAATTTTGTTTACCTGAATGTGATGGTAGCAGAAGATACTTTCACAAGGAAATTGCAGACGGGTTTTGTTTCAGTGATCGTATTCTGAAAATGGCCTATTTTCCAGATAATATGCCAGTGACGTGGTGTTACTCCGTGCCTCAGAAGCCCATGTATTGTTCCACCGGGTTTCCCGTAGGATGTTACATTAACCAGAAGGGCCAGCAGATGGGATTCTGTATGATTCCAGTGAGTTACTTGTCTGATTTATTTTCAATTTATTTTCATCGTATTCTGATGACGAAAGTCGTCCGAACTCTGTACTGCGCAGTACTTTGTGTTTCTTCGAGGTGATTTTCAATTGTGTTCCTGATTTACTCGTTATTTTTGCAGCCGGAACAACAAAAGGAAGACACGTACTATGTATACAACGATTTGGAGCTTGTGGTTTCGTACCACAGCGGAAAGAAGGAGGACTGGGGATCGTCTTTCCAGGCAAATGGAGGAAGGATAATTTGTGAGTGATCAACGGATTAAATCTTTTCTATGCGACAAGAAGAATCGAAAACACGTGCCTCGCAATATTTCGGTAACTGCAGGATGGATTGAAAATTACAACGAAAAACATTGCAGAAAAAACCTCACTTTTGTTTTGTTCTAGTGTAATAAAGCTTCGATTTTATGACTAAAATACTGTCCCGTGTCGTAAAAAAATTTGAACCGTAATAATGGAGAAAAATTGCCAGACGCTTCATCTCTTTTGCTCCTTAAATTCAAGTTCAGATCAAAATTCGAACTGACGAAAGAGGAAGAATGATGTCGCATTGGGTTGAATTGAAAATCATTTTATCCATCATTCGAATAACTGCGCAGTTGTTGACAACTGTAGTAATTGGAATTATTTTGCGTTTAACAACTATCCATCCATTCCCGAATTTTCGAAAGGTGAAATGAGAAAAATCGATTCGTGAATTTTGTGACTGTTTTTGAATTAAATGAAATATTCCCTTGTTCTATTCTAGCTGTGAAAGTTTACCCGAGGTCTAGTACGCAATGCGGCAAGTCAACGTCCATGCTGCAGATCAGTGGAAAACAGTTGGGGAGCAATGAGAAGATTCAAATCCCATACACATATTCCGTTACATTTGTGGTGAGAATTTCGTTGAATCGCTACGTTTTTATTGTGGAGCGCATCGCGAAGATTCGACTAAATCATTTTTCGCCGGAAAATTTTCTTTTTAATTTTTCGCATTCGTGATCATTTTTCCTTTGTATCGTTGGTGAGGCCTCTGGGTTACCAGGAAATATTTCCTGTTACGGGTGGACTCTCTCCGCGACAAAATTCAAGGGACCAGAAAAATATTCGCTGTAGAGAACCCCTGTAAGACTGAATAGAATCCTATGGGAACACGTAAAAATGATTTTACATAGCAAGATCTTTGTAGAGAGAGTCCACGTGTACTTGAATGACTAGCCTTAGTTCCTGGAAATTCAGGCAGGTGTCGCCTGAAATCAATGACAACCTAGTTGATGCGATCGTAAATCAAACGAACTTGGTCGGACTGGATTCATTTTTGTAAATGAAAAAATTCGCCAAATCTGATTTTCTATGTAACATAACAAAAATTCTTCACCGAAGTCGACGAACGTAGTTGAAGGGTTTTTTTTTACAATTTTCACGTATTTTCTGTGTAATTGTTGAATGTTATCAATTCACAGGAGAACAACACGACGAAGTGGGGCTCTCGTTGGGATCACCTGCTCGAGTCTGGACCGGATTCGAACATCCAGTGGTTCTCAATTCTCAACAGCCTCGTGATCGTCCTATTCCTGTCTGGAATGGTGGCGATGATCATGCTGAAAACGCTGCACAAGGACATTGCGAGGTACAATCAATTGGACGCTGGCGGCAGCAGTGACGACGCCCAGGAAGAATTCGGGTGGAAGTTGGTGCATGGCGACGTTTTCCGGCCGCCCAGGAAAGGAATGCTGTTGGCAGTCTGGGTCGGGTCTGGTGTCCAAGTTTTCCTGATGACGCTCATCACCTTGGGTAATTTGATGAACTTCCGAATGAGTTGGTGCTTTTTGAATTCATGGCGCGTTTATGAGGTTTAGTAGATTCTGATTCAAGAGCTTGACGGTTCGAACAACTCTTCAGCGATTCCAGCAGATCGTGATTGTCAGCGTTCCCCTGAATCACAATTTCATAATTTGTAAGGTTTTAATGAAGTTGGTGGGGAGGACATTGACCATCTTTGAAATTAAGCGTATTGATTATATTAGGTGTAGGGACATTTTCCTCAAATAAAAAGAAGCTTTTTCGAAGCTTGTGTTTTTGTTGAGCGAAAATTTTGAAAATTCCATTTCAGTTCGTTCGTACATTTCCTTTTTGTAAGTGTCATAAAGATCTGTTACACAAAAGCTCAGGCACAAGTTTTTGCAGTTTTGAGAGGCGAAGATGCGGCGAAAAGTAAAACGAGTAATCTTCGTTTCAATTCTACGACCTCTTGAAACTTCACAAAGCTCTGAAGATTTAAGTAAATTTGATTCTTTTAGTAAATAACAAAAATAATAAATTTTTATTACAGTATTATTATTTAAGTACGGCTGAATGCAAATTTGGTACGTTCATAAGGCTTTTTTCGTCCCTTCTCTTGGTTAAAAAGCATATGATCACGTGAAAATAATGCAGGTCGACTCTCTCTACAACGATTTTTTGAGCTTGACTTCTGTTGTAGTTTCCAACTGTTATTTTTCTTTCTCGTTTAACGTCTACGTTCCTATTTTTTGTTCGTATATTGTTAGTGTTCGCGTGCTTGGGATTCCTGAGCCCTGCGAATCGAGGATCATTGATGACTTGTGCCCTGGTATTGTACGTGTGCTTGGGTACACCCGCGGGCTACGTGTCTGCCCGACTTTACAAGAGCTTTGGCGGGGAAAAATGGAAGTCCAACGTGTTGCTGACTGCGATGCTCTGTCCAGGGTAAAGTATCTATCTTTATTTTATGTAAATGTCTCACATTGAAAGCAAACTGAACATAAAAATGGTACTTTTGGGCAATGCTGAGTACGCTAACTTATATTTTTATTTTTTGCAGACCGCGATTACGTTTCGGTCACCATCGAATGTTTTCTTTTTTTTATGAAATATTTATGAAGGATTATTTGACTGAACATGCGCCAGAAAAGGGATAAAAATGGTGGCGATTTTATTCGAATACTTGAGGAATCTTGGTATGAGAATAATGTCAAACAAGTTGTCAAGGTGAAATGTGATTGATCTTTCGGACCATCCGAACATTCCGAGGTATTCTATTTTATTTTTTTGCGTAAAAGATATGTTTTTCTATAAATGTTGCCTGCAGTTCAGGTCCATTCAGAAAGAGTGTTTCATGCCCTGCTTTTTCAAGTTGCCTACGAAACTCACCGAAATTATAATCGTAGACCACAAGAAAATATATTTTTAAAAATGTGAACAAAATTGACGTTGATCCTATTCTTTTGTTTACAGGATTGTTTTCGGAGTTTTCTTCATCCTCAACTTGGTATTCTGGGTCATGGATAGCTCGGCTGCTGTTCCGTTCACTACTCTCTTGGCGTTGCTTTCGCTGTGGTTCGGAATTTCCGTGCCATTGACTTTCGTTGGAGCTTATTTTGGCTTTCGACGACGTGTGAGTATTACTTTCAATGACGGAGGAAATATCTGGGCAAAATTTAGTCTTGTTCGAAAGAACGAATTTATTACGAATATTCTTCAGATTCTGAGAGCTGGTTTTTCAGGTGTTGGCTTTTAGTGTCGGAGATGTATTTGATTTGAACATCATACTGTACTATGATTCTTGAATCTCTGGCAGACGCCGATTGAGTCAAGAGCGTAGGATTTTTCGTTTTTTGATAATTTTGAGCGAAACTGTGTCTTCTTCGAAGGAACGAATTTATTATGAAAATTCTTGAAATTCTGAGACCCGGTTTTTCAGTCGTTAGCTTTTATCACCGTAGATGTATTCCATGTGAACATCAGGAGATGATTCTTGGAAAGCAGATGTCGATCAAGACCAAAGCGTAGGTCTTTCCGTTTTTTTTAATGATAATTTATTTTGCATTCTTTTCAGTCATTGGAATATCCGGTACGGACGAATCAGATACCGAGACAGATTCCAGAACAGAGTGCGTACACACGTCCGGTGCCAGGCATCGTTATGGGCGGCATTTTGCCATTTGGGTGCATTTTCATCCAACTTTATTTCATTCTCACATCATTGTGGTGAGTGTGGAACTTTTTCTCAAATCTAATCTTCGAAGAACAATTATTTGATGATTTATTCATTTTGCAGGTCAAGCCAGCTGTTTTACATGTTCGGCTTCTTGTTCCTGGTTTTCATCATCTTGGTTATCACGTGCTCGGAAACGGCCATTTTACTTTGCTATTTCCATCTCTGTGCTGAGGTTTGTATTCCAAGAAGGATTTGATATCTGTGTAGTAACATTTCGTTGGTACATTGGGACCAGGAAAATAGCTTCTTTGTGACAGAATATTCTTTAATGAGTCTTAAGAATAGTTTTTATTGGGCAGGAACCTGAACAAGGATTTTTTGCAAGCTGCGAGGGTTGGTTTGTAAAAGATGATAAACTGTCACTCGCCGTCATCTGAGGAGGATGCAATTTTTTTTATTGCTTTTCATTCTTCATTGGTGTCTAATAAAGTTTTCATCCACTATTCAGCTACAGAAGGAAACAAGAAAAAGACTTGAATCACAGTGAATGCCCTCCACTGAAGTGAAGTTTACCATGTAACACCCAAAGTTGTAAAGCGTGCAAGTGCGCATTCAGCTGCTCTAGATCAATTAAACTTCACTTCAGTGCACTTCAGTGGAGGACATTCACTGTGATCCAGGTGTTTTTCTTGTTTCCTTCTGTAGCTGATCAGTGGCTGAAAAATGTATTTAAAACCAATAAAGGATTGAAAAGCAAAATTTAAAAAATGCTATCTGCCTCTGATGAAGACAAGTGGCTGTTAATCATCTTTTACAAACCAACTTTTATATTTTTGAAATGGGATTTATTGTTGTAAAAAAAGTTAATGTATTTACTAAATCTTTTCAATTATTCTTTGAATCTTTGAAATGCTGTGTAAAAAACTCGGTGACGCTTGTCTATCTAATGTAGATCATGAATAAAAAGTAGCAAAGCTAGTTTTCATGCTTTCCACGTGAAATAATTTTTAATGTTGAAAATAATTCAAATTTCATTGACCATTGCGACGAAAGTATTTTGACAAACCCGGCCAAAACTTAGTTTCGGATGAACAGATCGCAGTACGTCATTTTAATAAACGTCAGGTAATAGTTGAATATATTTCTTTGCAGATCTGTAGTCCGTTGATAAAGTGAAAATATTAATGTATTTGCTGTTTTTATATTTATAGAAACGAATAATTCAAGAGAAGGTCTCGATTTACTTGAAAGCGAAGGTGAAATATGGATTTTGTTCAAAATCGTTTATCGATTGAGATTTTCCGTAAATCTTTCGCAAATCCAGCTAGACTCTTGTTACAAAAGTTGTTGGATTATTTTATATAAAAGCGGAATTGTATGATGTTGACAAGCCTGCTGTTGATTTATCTGCAAGCCCTTCCTTTTCATCACGAACTTCGCTATAAGGGAAATTGTTATCCTCCTACAATCGTTGTTTCAACGGTTAGGCATATTTTCAAAAAAAAAAATCTCGGATTTTCTTGAAAAAGTTCCCCCCAAAAATATAATCCAGGATACGTCCCGAGTGTGTCAAGTTTTGGATTTGTTTTGCAGGACTACCGTTGGTGGTGGAGAAGTTTCCTGACCTCGGGATGCACGGCTCTGTATTTGTTCCTCTACTGCATCCACTTCTTCGTTACCAAGCTGGATATCAAGGATTCAACGTCCACCTTCTTGTATTTCGGCTACACTTTCATTATTGTGTTTCTGTTCCTGCTCCTCACTGGTGAGTGCATGCATTTTTTCTAGATCTGGAGATTTTAGACGTTTCTTGTTCACGTGATGAGATCAGCACTTGTCAAGAATATTATCTAGACAAATAAAGAACTTTAAAATTGAGTAGAAATATTTGAATAAAACACACAAATTTGGTCAGGCTGGGGTGAAGAATCAGTGAATCACCCTATTTTAAGGTTGTTGTAATTCTGGTTTTGGATGCGCAAGTACAAAAAGCAACAATTTTGTGCAGATCAACAAGAAACAACACACTCAAATGCTCGAATCAGAATTAATGATTTTTGCCAATTTGGGAAAACAGGAAAACTTTCCTTCAAGGACAAAAAACAGCAACAGGATTTTAGCAATAAAATGCAGCCTTGAAGGTTTAGAAAGAAACGTTAGAACAAAGGTCTTCCAAGATTCTCACAGAGATGGAATGAAAGAAGAGTTTTTACTGAGAATTCAGGTTCTCTGATTTTGGCGTGTCAATTTGAGGAAGCTATATAGTTTTTGCAACAGCACTTCCCAAAGATGTCATCAATCGTTTCGGTTTTAAGACATGGTGAATTTTTGTGTGTCTCCATATTTTAACGACACGAAAGCTGGAGTACCACCTGCCAGATGCTAGTGGTTGGAAATACCATTGGTTTAGAAGTCCTGATCAAATATGCTTCTATGTAATGTAAATTAATTTATTGACTTTTGATCATCGAATCCAATGCCCTCTGATGAGTAATTATTGTGTTTCTGTTCCTGCTCCTCACTGGTGAGTGCATGCATTTTTTCTAGATCTGGAGATTTTAGACGTTTCTTGTTCACGTGATGAGATCAGCACTTGTCAAGAATATTATCTAGACAAATAGAGAATTTTAAAATTGAGTAGAAATATTTGAATAAAACGCACAAATTTGGTCAGGCTGCGGCCGGGGTAAAGAATCACCCTATTTTAAGGTTGTTGTAATTCTGGTTTTAGATGCGCAAGTACAAAAAGCAACGATTTTGCGCAGATCAACAAGAAACAACACAAGCAAATGCTCAAATTGGAATTAATGATTTTTGCCAATTTGGGAAAACAGGAAAACTGTCCAAGGGCAAAAAACAGCAACAGGATTTTAGCAATAAAATGCAGCCTTGAAGGTTTAGAAAGAAACGTTAGAACAAAGGTCTTCCAAGGTTCTCACAGAGATGGAATGAAAGAAGAGTTTTTACTGAGAATTTGGGTTCTCTGATTTTGGCGTGTCAATTTAAGGAAGCTATTTAATTTTTGCAACAGCACTTCCCAAAAATGTCATCAATTGTTATGGTTTCAAGACATGGTGAATTTTTCTGTGTCTCCATATTTTAACAACATGAAAGCTGGTCATGGTGGACGGTCTACGATCACCAACCTTTATGGTAACCAAATCTTCAGGACTAGTTTATACGAAGATACATTACATTTAATTAAATAACTGAAAACTAGTAGCTTAGGTTACGGGAGACTACTCATTAGAAATTTGAGTTTTCGTAACTATATGAAACAAACGTAATTTGCGAAGGTTGTTCTTGTACTGCATTCGCAAGTTTTAAATTCGAATCCTCGTATACATTAGGATTCCATTAAGTTAATTGAATTAATTGATGCGAAATTTGCGAAGTGAGTAAATTGAAGTACAGTATTACCTACCTCCACAAGAACATTCGTCAGCATAATTTACGGCGTAGACATTACTTGAGGTCTGTATCAAAATTCATTGCAAGACGACAAAGAACAAATTTTTTTTTTTAGCGAGAAACTTGTTTTAGACATTTAGAGGAACTGCTTTTACATTACTTTAAGGTATTACAGAGAATCATTGCTGTGGAGAGAATCTCTTGTCTGCCAACTTGGATGTACAGTACAGTAAAGTCCCGTTACAACGCATCTTGTTATAACGAATTTTCATGTTGGTCCCGGCAGTTTCTCAGTAGTGAGAATATTATGAAAGTTTTGTTAAAACGAACTAATTTTCCTCTATGATCTCAGTATGAAGAATTTTTTGCATTGATTACGTGTGCATGAGCAATTTGGGCGTGCAAAAATTTAACTATGTGGCATAGTATGGGAAAACTCAACTTGTGCGTGATTGAAAAACCTTCAAAATATGTAAATGCAAATTATTTTTTGCAAAAATTTAGCATCGCAGTAAGCGTGAAGCTCTGATAAAAATGCATCTTCATTTTTTAGAGGTCAGAAATGGTTCACGTTTTCAAGTATGTTGGAAGAGATACTGCTCAAGTTTAGGGAACGTACAGTTGTGATTGAATAAATGTTCTTCTCAAACATGTACAGTATTTTCTTCTTATTCCAGCTCATACTTCAGTAAGATCAGTATATTTTCAGGAAATCTAAGGAAGGGAAGTTCTGAGTAAGGGAGTTGTACAATATTTTATGCATGGAATTTTCAGTAGCATTTTATCAGAAGAAGTTGGAAATGATGGCAATTCTTCACAGTACAGTGCGTCAAAGCTTTTTTTTTTTTGTTTTACCCATTTCCCATAAAATTTCAGTCCCACATGCTCAAAGAATCTCATAACAAATTTTGTGTTATAAAGAAATTTTTTCTCAGGTCCCAGGGAGTTTGTTGTAACACGATTTTTACTTTATTTATTATTTTTCGGAAGCAAAAATCAGTTGTGTCGAACGTGTTCATGTGTCCCTTGGTTGAAGATTTGTTGAGTGAAATTCACATGCATCGCCCGGAAAATTTCTTGGCGTGAAAAATTGAAAGTGGACGAACAGAACCACCGACTGACGGTGGTATAGCTCCCAAGGATCGCGCAGATGCGTGCTTTAACCAAAAACTCACCACCGGAATCATTGTTTTGTCATTTCAGGCACGATCGGATTCCTGGCTTGTTTCTGGTTCGTCCGCAAGATCTACAGCGTTGTCAAAGTGGACTAGGGTGGAAGCTGGGCGTTTCCGGTGTGTGTGCGTGTATGTGTAAAAGGAAAGCAGGACAAGTTTTTGCATCTTTTCTCCATCTCTTTCTCCCGTTGTACCTTCAACACTCTGTGTCGTGTGCGTATTTGGACGGGTGACTTGAAGCACGTTGAGCATGCCGTGAAACAAGACAACGTGTGTTTCGGGGGTTGTGATGGCGCGTCCAGAGTGCGGAAATAAGGGCTCCCTTTTTTGTTATTCCCCCTAAATCCTCACCAGGTGTTTTCTCGATCATCGAGTGGCATTAATGCTTTCCCGCGGGGTGTGGTGTTTAAAAATCGGCACCGGTTCCGGAATAACTGCTGAAGTGATGCCTGGTTTTCCTTTTTTTTGGCATTCAATTCGAAATTTTCCCGAGGTTTCAGTGAACTGTTTCTGTTTTAGCGCGTGACCAACCGTGCGAGTGTAACTCGAATCAGTGGCACAAGGACTAAGATTCTTAGTGGAAGGCCCGCATGCGTCAGTTGAAAATTATAACCGTGTTGTGTAAGAATAAAATTCTGTTAGTCGGTCATGTCCTAGGCTAGTGTCCAGGGAACTGTTCCTTTTCCGGCATGTGACCAAACATGCGAGTGTAACTTAACTCAGTCTTAGTTGTTAAATAAGGACTAAGATTCTAAGTGCGAGGCCAACACACGTCAGTTTAAAACTATAATCATGTTGTGTAAGAATACAATTCTATTAGTTGGTCATTTTCTAGAATTGTATCCAGTGAAGTTATCTGTCTCTTGTAGATTGGGTCTTCTCTATGGAATAGTTTTAGATGCAGTAAGTTAAAATTGAGAATTATTTATCCATTTCTAGTAGTATTCACTGAAGTGATGCGTTTCCCCAATTTAAGGGTATTTGTACATTTTTCTTCCCATGAAACAGTTCAATATGGTTGATTTACAACGCGTGAAGAAAATTTTGAAGCATTGCAAAAAAGAAAAAAACCGTTGTTGAGAAGATGAATTGGCCTTGAATGGATTTCAAGTGGCTCTTGTTCTTGTGGAATTGATGTTACATTTAACATATGTAATTGATTATACTTATAGGTCTCACACTAGGAGAAGGGTTGTATTGATTTGCCATATTTCTGAGGAAGTACTGTAACATAAAACAAAATTTCAAATTGTTCAATCATATGAAGTGGAATCACGAGAACACATCAAGTATGAGAGACATTTTCCACTTATTATTTCTTATAATCATGCGCTACATCCCGAAACGAAGTATGAATGTTCTGAATCATCCTGTTGACGCCGTTTTGATGAGGTGGGGATTTTCTCATGATTTGGTCAGTGTGTGAAATTTGTCAGTGATTTTTTCCATGCTCTGTGTGTGCTGTTTTTTTCTTGTCGGAAATTTCACGTTCGTTGCATGAAGTGCGACTCGGGCGCGGATATATTTTTCAATGATTTATATATCCTCGCAGTTTTCAAAAAGTTGAGATTCCATTCCTCGAGATCAATCCAGGCTAGTTTCGATTGATTGCAGCTTCGAAGTAGACTAATCGGAAAAAAACATTTGNGTGCATGAGCAATTTGGGCGTGCAAAAATTTAACTATGTGGCATAGTATGGGAAAACTCAACTTGTGCGTGATTGAAAAACCTTCAAAATATGTAAATGCAAATTATTTTTTGCAAAAATTTAGCATTGCAGTGAGCGTGAAGCTCTGATGAAAATGCATCTTCATTTTTTAGAGGTCAGAAATGGTTCACGTTTTCAAGTATGTTGGAAGAGATACTGCTCAAGTTTAGGGAACGTACAGTTGTGATTGAATAAATGTTCTTCTCGAACATGTACAGTATTTTCTTCTTATTCCAGCTTATACTTCAGTAAGATCAGTCTATTTTCAGGAAATCTAAGGAAGGGAAGGTCTGAGTAAGGGAGTTGTACAATATTTTATGCATGGAATTTTCAGTATTATTTCATCTGAAGAATTGGGAAATGATGGCAATTCTTCACAGTACAGTGCGTCAAAGCATTTTTTTTTTACCCATTTCCCTTAAAATTTCAGTCCTGCATGCTCAAAGAATCTCATCATAACAAATTTTGTGTTATAAAGAATTTTTTTCTCAGGTCCCTGGGAGTTTGTTGTAACACAATTTTTACTTCATTTATTATTTTTCGGAAGCAAAAAACAGTAATGTCGAACGTGTTCATGTGTCCCTTGGTTGAAGATTTGTTGAGTGAAATTCACATGCATCGCCCGGAAAAAATTTCTTGGCGTGAAAAATTGAAAGTGGACGAACAGAACCACCGACTGACGGTGGTATAGCTCCCAAGGATCCCAGATGCGTGCCTTAACCAAAAACTCACCACCTGAATCATTGTTTTGTCATTTCAGGCACGATCGGATTCCTGGCTTGTTTCTGGTTCGTCCGCAAGATCTACAGCGTTGTCAAAGTGGACTAGGGTGGAAGCTGGGTGTTTCCGGTGTGTGTGCGTGTATGTGTAAAAGGAAAGCAGGACAAGTTTTTGCATCTTTTCTCCATCTCTTTCTCCCGTTGTACCTTCAACACTCTGTGTCGTGTGCGTATTTGGACGGGTGACTTGAAGCACGTTGAGCATGCCGTGAAACAAGACAACGTGTGTTTCGGGGGTTGTGATGGCGCGTCCAGAGTGTGGAAATAAGGGCTCCCTTTTTTGTTATTCCCCCCTAAATCCTCACCAGGTGTTTTCTCGATCATCGAGTGGCATTAATGCTTTCCCGCGGGGTGTGGTGTTTAAAAATCGGCACTGGTTCCGGAATAACTGCTGAAGTGATGCCTGGTTTTCCTTTTTTTTTTCTGGCATTCAATTCGAAATTTTCCCGAGGTTTCAGTAAACTTTCTTTTTTAGCGCGTGACCAACCGTGCGAGTGTAACTCAACTCACAACAGTGGCACAAGGACTAAGATTCTAAGTGGAAGGCCCCGCACGCGTCAGTTAAAAATTATAACCATGTTGAGTAAGAATAAAATTCTGTTAGTCGGTCGTGTCCTAGACTAGTGTCCAGGGAACTGTTACTTTTCCGGCATGTGACCAAACATGCGAGTGTAACTTAACTCAGTCTTGGTTGTTAAATAAGGACTAAGATTCTAAGTGCGAGGCCAACACACGTCAGTTTAAAACTATAATCATGTTGTGTAAGAATACAATTCTATTAGTTGGGTCATTTTCTAGAATTGTATCCAGTGAAGTTATCTGTCTCTTGTAGATTGGGTCTTCTCTATGGAATAGTTTTAGATGCAGTAAGTTAAAATTGAGAATTATTTATCCATTTCTAGTAGTATTCACTGAAGTGATGCGTTTCCCCAATTTAAGGGTATTTGTACATTTTTCTTCCCATGAAACAGTTCAATATGGTTGATTTACAACGCGTGAAGAAAATTTTGAAGCATTGCAAAAAAGAAAAAAACGTTGAGAAGATGAATTGGCCTTGAATGGATTTCAAGTGGCTCTTGTTCTTGTGGAATTGATGTTACATTTAACATATGTAATTGATTATACTTATAGGTCTCACACTAGGAGAAGGGTTGTATTGATTTGCCATATTTCTGAGGAAGTACTGTAACATAAAACAAAATTTCAAATTGTTCAATCATATGAAGTGGAATCACGAGAACACATCAAGTATGAGAGACATTTTCCACTTATTATTTCTTATAATCATGCGCTACATCCCGAAACGAAGTATGAATGTTCTGAATCATCCTGTTGACGCCGTTTTGATGAGGTGGGGATTTTCTCATGATTTGGTCAGTGTGTGAAATTTGTCAGTGATTTTTTCCATGCTCTGTGTGTGCTGTTTTTTTCTTGTCGGAAATTTCACGTTCGTTGCATGAAGTGCGACTCGGGCGCGGATATATTTTTCAATGATTTATATATCCTCGCAGTTTTCAAAAAGTTGAGATTCCATTCCTCGAGATCAATCCAGGCTAGTTTCGATTGATTGCAGCTTCGAAGTAGACTAATCGGAAAAAAACATTTGTGACTGTCGAGGGCAAGTTATTTTTGTCGTGTCGTTGATTTGCGTTTAAATCAGTAAAGGCAGTTAAAAAATTCTACTATTACCAAACGGGATTCGATTTTTACTCTCTCTGTCTGTTTTCTTGATGCTCATCTTTAAGAAAAGGGAAAGAAATGGAATGCGAACAGTGGAATTATTTCGGAAAGTATTTCAATTGATGCTGTTGTTTCCCCAAAGACGAAGTTCGGTGAGGGATTTCTTGAATGTCGTTGGATTTCGCTCTTCTGCACAAGAGATTTTCAACAACAAAAAGTCGGCAATTGATGTTTCTTGTGGAGGTGTGAGACATTTTTCCCCGCACTACTTCCTTTTTTTTCTATGTCAAGTCCGCGGTGGGCCTGTGATCAAGTTGGAAAGAAAAATGTGGGGGAAAGGGAGAGGAATTGAGTTGTTAGCTTAGAGCAGGGAAGCGTGGCCCGTTGGGTTTCCGGGCGATGCCGTCATCGAGATGATGCCCCGGGTATTCCCTGTTATTTTTGTTGTGGTGTCTTTGAAGGAAAGGTGTTTTTTTGTTTGATTTGTTTTTTTTTCGGGAGGAGATGATGCACAGGGAGTTTTATTTATTGATCGATGGTTTTTTGCTTCTGCAGTTCATGAGCACGTTTTAAGCGGTTTGCGACAAGAGGTTTTTTTTTTGAGTGAATAAAAAAGGAAGATCGCAATGTTGGAAAATGGAATGTTTTCCGTTTGGATTATTTTTCGAGCTTTCAAGTTCTATTAGAGTGCGTAGATTTATTCCAAACTTGATGAGAAAATGAAAGCAAAAAAGTACTTTTACCTACTGTATTGGAAAAGGTGACGTGATCAAGGTCAGCCAATGTCAATTCTAAGAATGGGGTGCGAAACCCGATCACTAACTATTCTTTACTTCAGATTAAGGAGCATTAATTCAATTGAATTTCATAAAGACTGTACTGTGAAAATCTGCACAACAAAAATTGTGCATTACGAAATAGGAAAAAAATGAATCAAATTGTGTAATTTTGTTGTTGTGCAATGCACTTAGAATTACTGCATTTACTTGAGTACATGTGGCTTCAAGTTGGACATTGACCAGGTCTTTTTTAGTTGAATTGTTTTCTGCAAAATAATGTTTTTATTAATGTATACCTGTATCTATAGTTAGGGTAGGTGGAATATATCCAATGTACCCCTAAGACAATTTACTCTTATTATTTGATGAGGGACATTCACCTCCCTTTTCCTTCTAATTTTTAGAAAAAGAAATGCATGCTACTTTACTAAATATATGGTACTGTAAAATTCCAGCCATTCTCTGAATTGCAATCTATCTTCATGTATATTTGGAGTACTTCTCAGCTTTCCAACCCCTCTCATTCAATGCCTATAGCTGTAGGCCAGATTAAATCCAGTAAAATCTTTTCATTGAAGCCCATTGGACCAGCAAAATAGCTTTCTTGTAATGGAAAATTATGAAGTAACTTTTTTAACATTGTAGCTTCTAGCATGCTGTATTGCAGGTACATATCTGGAAAAGCTTTGTTGTAAGCAAATAAAATTTGCTGAATGACAAGATTTGTAGTACCAATCCTATTGCATCAGTTTTGGTACATGTTTTATTGGTTAAAGATGATAATGATCATGTGAAGATCTTAGACTTGAAACTTTACATTTAATACCTATACAGTGTTTGAAGAAACTTAAATACTTGAATGGAAGCAAGAATAGTGTAGATCACTACCTGACTTGAGCCAACTATGTGCAGAATGGATGAAGAAGTGTGTGTGCACCTTCAATCATTTTATATTAGGCGGAATTTCATTTTTACAATATAATTCATAGTCTTGGAAACAAATTAAAATTTCTGCAATGTATTCTTAATGGGATGTGATCCACATGCATAATGAAATTAGTGCATTGCTTATGCTGTCAGTATATGTCCCCCATACAGACATGATAAACTTTTCTTGATAAGTAAATGTCCAATAGATGTACTTACACTACACAAATAACTTTTGCTGGTGGACGTTCATGGACTTATTCTTGTACGAATGGACTAAATAACCCTGGAATACTCTTTGGGATTAAAATAAACATCATATGAACTGCTCATGTTTACCCCAGTTGGATGAAATTTATTGATCACAATAAATTGGATAGAACATAATTTTGATTCATGAACGCAATCAACCTATACATATATTAAGCCGAACATAAAAGGTTCACAAAAATGCTCGGTAAAAAATACGCAAAATTTCAATAAGTTTTGGGCTGAAACTTCGAAATTAAAAATCCAGGAAAATGGCAAAAGAAAAGCATATAATTTCTCTTTTTATATTGTCTCCCAAATGTTTGGAAGTTATAGACAGTTCACAGCACAAACTGGGCAACATTTTTGCAATTGCATTTCTGCTGAAAACCATAAGAAAATACAGTGTTTAATGTTTGTAATGGTCTTTTACATTGAATGTCCAAAACAAAACAAAAATCTGCCCAATTAAGTGCATTGAGGAATTATAATTAGTTTTGATACGCGGGGTCCCACAACTATTATCATTTTTCATATCGTTATAAGTGACACCATGGTTTTCCATGTCCCAATAATGAATTCGTCAAATAAAGGTTTTCTTGTGTTATATATACATCAACACTCAATGTTATACTGTACTCGAATATACACACGTAACTGCACAAATCCGCTCCGCGCAAAAAACTTTTATCTCGCCGTTTATCAAGTTACGCACCTTTCCGTTTAATCTTGACGAAAAAGAGTGCCAGATGTATATATATACTGTATATATATATATTATATCGTGTATAGGTTCACTCAGTGCCGAGTGGTGCGAACGGGAGTGTAGAAGAATTCCTCTCCCGGGGTGTGTATTTCCTCTTCTCGGCTGTGTGTGCGCCGGATTCCGTAGGTGTTTCATGCTAATTTGCTCAGCGGGGCCTGGGGTTTCTTATTGCCTCAGTATGCCCAGGCACATCCCAATGCCACGGGGTCCTTGAGCTCCGGTGTATCCAACTGCCAACATCAGCAGCAGCCCACATCGTGTGTATATTTATGCTGTATGCATCTACCAATATATATTCGCACAAAAATAGAAAAAAGTGGAAAGAGAAACCATTTGTGGAACAGATGTTTTTAGTGTAAGGACCCTTCGTTCTTATTCTACAGTACAGTAAATGTATACCTGCTATGTTTCGACGAAGACGAGGGAAACCGCCCACCGATAACCTGAAGTTCCGTGGAAAATATCCCATGCGGTTTAAATGAAATATTTCTTCCTCCTTCACCCCGTGATGCTGAGAGAAGTGCAGTACTGTACTCGTCAGCAGTGCTGTGCATATGGTCATGCAATCATGTTCCTTTCTTCTCGATTTCTGATGATGCCTGCATTTCGAGGCGAGGTGTGTCCTTCCCATTTAGCTACGTACTGCATGCATGTACGGAGAAATTCAGGACTAATATTTGAGCTCATCATGCACGCGGCCCTTACATTTTGTACCTCAATACCTAATTCTTTTACTCGATTCCATCTTCGGATGCGGGGATATCCATATACACAGCAATTCAGACGCGGAGTTTCGGGGGCATGAAGTTCCCTTGAAAACGAGGATCTTTCAGTCAAAATGTCGAAATGGTTCGGTATGGTGCTGGAATCCTGCATGAGATTCGATCTGCAAAAGAGGAACCATCATCATACCCGTACTGTACAGAGAAGCTCAAAACTAATATTTGAGCTCATATATGCACCCTTACCTCAAGACCTCATTCTTTATATAACTCGATTCCACCTCCTGCACGGAATATTCGCACTAAATCGACGCAGACGAGCTTCGAAGGGCAAAAATAAGTCCCTTACGAAAAAATGACGATCTTTTCATCTCAAATGGTACGACGTTCGGCAGTGGAATCCTGCATGAGGTCTGATCTGCGAGGAATCAGCTACGTACTGCACAGAGAAACTCAAGACTAATATTTATCGAGCTCATATATATGCACCCGCCTTACCTCAGTAAGACCTCATTTCTTTTACTCGATTCTCTCTCCTGCTGCCGGGGATATCCGTACTTCCGACGTGGAGTTGAAGGGAACGAAGAATAAAAGTCCATGGAGGAGCTACATCACCAAGAAGGGAGTCTCCCGAAAGGAAGGCCTAAAAGCTCTCCAGTATGATGCTGGCGTCGTCGGTGTCGACACGCACCCCAGGCTTTGCTTCATGGAATTCCTATATACCGCCCCCGCGGTACGTGCGTGTTGCGTTCCTTCCATGCCATGTTCTCGTATGTACTTGTGCATTCCGCATGCGAACGCAATAAGATCGTGCATCCGCGTTTATACATGCGCCATATTTCGTGCCACGCGACGCGGATTCCGGGGTTTCGCACTTGAATGCGGGGATTTGCGAATCGTCAAACGCGTCAGTGTCGACCGCGACTCCAGTGGATTGAGATCATGCTAGGTTATGCTGATGCTGGAGGGAACTTCACTTTCCTTGACGCGACTCCGCGTATCTCAATTGTTCAGTGCACGCGGAGTATCTTTCCATCATCACGCGTTTAAGACACGACACGTGAGTTCAGCTAACTTCCTCGCAAATACGTACATACCGCATATCTGTCGAGGTTCGTTTTGAAAAGTCATTCGAACACACAGCACTGGGTGGAACTCGGTTGTTGACGTTCTCCGGTAAAAAATTATCACACGTGAAACGTCTTCGCTTCAAATAAGGATGTATACACAGCAAGTAATCAACAGTAAAGCAGTCAAAAATCTACATGCGTAAGCCGCCACCATCTTTTTTAGGTTTGTGCGGTTTCGGGGGGGGGGGGGGGGAATTGAATTGATTGTTTTATAAGTGTGGGGTATCAAAAAACAGCCGAAAATCTAATTCAATATGAAACACAATCACTCTTAGAAAATAATCAAAGTATACCTGGGATACATGAATTATGCCTATATTTATAGATCTCAATGTCCCCAGATCTATATATAAATAATAGTTCTAAGCGTTATTTTAATTATTTGCACGTGACTATTTTTTTTTCGTAAAGACCTCAAGACTAGACTCATGTTGTCAGGGTAACGAAGACAAAATTAATCGGCAGAAGCAGCACATTGAAGCTGTCCATAATTTTAGCAGGTGCTGGCATATCTTTCATATGGGGTTTTTAATTAATATTATTATTAGAAAATATTTTCTTTCCGAAATTAATTGGAAATTTCAATTGGTTGCAGCTGATTTATTGTGGAGCATCTTATATAATGGAGTTTGATTGTACAGTAATGATATTTTTCAATCACTGTACGTACTATTTCATAATCAAGACAGGGGCCAGCAGAGTCTTTAATAAATTGAAGTTCAACGAAATCCAAGGGTTGCACTATGTATGTTTGCAGGATACTGATGCATTTGAAAAACATGATTTTGTTTGCAAGGGATTACATTTTTAACTCAAATTACTTTCCTACATACTTATATATATACCTGTGGCTATATCATCCAGCTGAAGGTCATGCATGAAAAAAAGTACCGCACGCAAACAGCAGAAACCTAGATGCACATTTTCCTGGATTCCAAAAATGAAAGAGGAATGCAAAAATTTAAGCAAAGCAATCAAATGGGAACGATTTAGTAGTTACGTGCTTGACTGGCTCATGATAATTACCATCATATACTGAGTATATAAGAGCATACAGTATCAGGGCTTT